GATGACCTCCTCACTCTCTTAATATCCTAGCGTTCAAAATGTATGCCGCGGTATTGACCATCCTATGACTTGGCATCCCCCCCCCCCCTCCCCCCCATGTCCTTCTGCCCTGTTCACTAGGGCCCTGGCCTTATCAACGACCGGGACCAAGCTTCCTTTACCCGTACCCGTGGCCAGCTAAATAATACTCATCCACCGTCAAAAGTGCTGCTTCTATGCTCCATTGAGTATTGCCCCTCGTTGTTTCGTCAATCTGCCCCCTTACACATACCGTCCACGATCCACATCCTGCAGATGCAACACGGTAGAATACTGCAATAGCACTATCCACTCTATACTACCATCCACCACCATCATTATGGCTGCTGTCCCCTCAACCGCCACCGATCCCATCGAGATCAAGAAAGTCGACAACGCCGCCAACAACGCTGCTGCTGCTGCTGCTGCTGCTGCTACCGCCGTCCCCAGGAAACGAAGAAGAAGAGCACCAGCCACAGGAGCCACCGAAGACTGCTTTGCTTGCAAGAAACGTCAAGTCAAGTGTGATCGTCGTCGACCCTACTGTGGCCAGTGTGTTGAAATTGGAAAGGAATGCTCCGGCTACCGTACCACCTTGACCTGGGGAGTGGGCGTCGCCAGTCGTGGGAAACTGCGGGGCATGTCTTTACCCATTGCAAAGTCTCCGCCTGTCACTGCCTCACAGGAGCCAAACAAACAGACACGAACAAACTCAGTTACCGCTGCTAGCTCACAACAGGCCACCACGGCCGCATCACAACAAGCACATGGCCACTTCAACAACCGTGGAAGCGTGGACTATGGCGCCTGCTCTCCACCGAGTCCTACCAGTCCAAACATGTACTCTGCACCGCAAGAATATCGCTATCTTGGTCCTACCAGCCCGATCCCAATTCCATCGCCCTCTACACCCATGGGCTTCCCAATGTCCCAACAGGGGGACCATTTCGAGTACCTCATGTCAAATCACTCCAAAATGGGCCAACAACATCACCTGCACCGAGGACCACTCCAGAGGCTACAGACGACCCTCCGTATGCCCTTTGACGATAATGGCATGTCTGCCTCGTCTGCCTCGTTAGGCACCTACAGCGACAGTGACTTTCCCTCACCTAGCGAGTTCCCACATACCCCTGTTGATGAGTTCCCCTTTGCCGATCCATCCATCCCACGCTACTCGTACGGCTCACATGATCATGGCCAGATGGGTTCACTGGACAATTACTTCTTGCACGAAGCCCCCCGCCTGTTTCCCATTGCCGACGACATGAGCTCCAGCGTAAGCTCCGACCAGAGCATCCACGACTACGCCGAAGTGAGCTCGTCGACCCAGCAAAGCATGGGCACGACTGCATTTCCAGATATTTTTGTAGAGGGAGAGATGAGCTCGAGTTTCACTGGATTCCAGCCTGGCTTCTCTTTTCTCCCGTCGGAGGGTATGTCTTCATCCTATGGCTCTGGCCCCCTGTCTCTAGACGTACTGTCGCTCACCACTTCTATTCCTCAGAGCCTTACCATCGCTTCGCCCCTTTCCCCGCGGATGCTATCCCTTCTGGACTACTACGACAAATATATATGCCCGGTACTGGTGGCTTTTGACACTCCAGCCAATCCCTACCGTATGCACATTATTCACCTAGCCATGCGGAGCGAGGAGCTCCAAAACGCTATTGCCGCCCTCGCAACCAACAATATGCGCATGCGAGGTGGCATCGAGGGACGTAGACTGTCCGTTGCCCATGACAGCCGCTTAATCCCCGCTCATGCGTACTCGCAAATGACGACGCAAGAATTGCGTGAGATGCATGGTGAAGCCTCTGGCGAAGAGAAGCATTACAAGCAGACTTCTATTGCCCTGCTCAATAGGAAGCTCATCGACTATGATGGCTCGCAGGACGACTCTGTACTCGCCACGCTTCTCATCTTATGCCTATTTCACGTCTGTGACTCGGGCTTCACCAAGTTCAAGACTCAACTGGCTGGCGTGCAAAAACTGCTGAGTCTACGTGACCGAACCATTCAATCCGATTTTGTGGGCTGGATCGAGACTTTCTTCACTTGGTTTGATGTCATGACGGCTGCAGTCAACGATCGAGAGATTGAAGTACGCGGCGACTCACTCGACATGATGAATCTGAGCGCAAATCTGGGCGCCCTAGAGCATCACTCTGGCTGCGAAGGCCGCCTGTTCAAACTCATTGCGCGACTGGGAAGACTCAACTTGCTAAGTCAAAATCGACCTGTACGCGACAACGACGACACGCCCACCTCATCACCCCGACCCAGAAAGGTCAAGGACTTTTACTCGTTCAGTTTTGATAACATGGATGGAAATGGATGGGGAACACCCATCAACGAGACACCGAATCCTTTTCACTCTGCACAGCGCGAAGATCCACGCTCTGCTTTCTGGACCGAGTGGAACGATGTAAGGGTACGCCTGCAAGATTGGGAATTTCCTTCTCCTGGAGAGCTCCATTCCACCTCCTGCGAAGCCACCTCCTCCCTACTCGCCATGTCACCTGCCCAAGCCGCCTTGTTACACATTAGCGAGAGTTTTCGCTACGCAGCCCTGCTCTACACCGAGCGCCTAGCCCATCCCACGCTCCCCGCCAGCTCCCTCAACTTCCAAAACCTCGTCTCCCAGGGCCTCTACCACATTTCGCAGATTGGCATCACCAGCTGTGTCAACAAGTTCCTGCTCTGGCCACTCTTCATCATTGGCACCGAGTGCGTGGACCCGGAGCACCGCGCGCTTGTGCGACAGCGGTGCGTCGAGATTCAACGTGAAAGCGGCTTCTTCAACAATCTCAGCGGCCTCGAGGTCCTCGAGCGCGTGTGGCGCGAGGACGACGAGTGGTCAGACGGCGATGTGCAGGTGCCCCGCCAAAACGGGCCGTTTAGTACCATGCAGCATCCGTTCCGGTGGAGAAGAGCCATGGATCGCGTCGATGGAGAGTACATTGTCATATGATGCTTTCTCCTCCTCCCCTCTTGATTTACTTTTTTTCTCATTGTATGCCGGCAGGATGAAAAACCACTAGCAGCGTACGTTATGGGATGATACATGTATGGTAGCAAAAAACGAGGCCATCTTTTCTTTTCTTTTCAACAAGCATCAACTCTGGGCATGCATTGGAGTCTTTTATTTTTATGAACTTGATCCTTGGGGATAGGACCCATGAAAACTCAAACGGATCACGGATACTACGGATATGGGTGGTTTTTTCTTCTTCTCTTCCTTCTCTGTCGGAGACATTTTCACGTGCGCAGTACGTTTTCCTGCATGTATGTATGTACAACACCATTTGCCCGATTTCTATGCGCATCAGGAAAGCATCGATATGTCGATATCTCCAGGGGTGCGCAATCGGTAGTAATCCAAACCAAACCAAAAACCATCATCAGATCACATCACATCATACCACATTATCCTCTCACCGTACCGTAGCTACCCTTAGCTGTACCGCACTCTCTGCATGCCTACCCCTCTTCGGGCTTCGAGAAAAACATGTCTCACGTGCACTGCGCTGCTCGTATCATCGCCTCACGGGTTCGAGGCACGAGGGAGTTTTGGTTCAGGGGGGGTGTGCAGCGAGTTGGAGAGAGGGGAAATGGTTGGGGAAGGGCAGGGGGGTAGCCTGCGGGTTGGGAGTGTTGGGAGTAGGGTTGGGTTTGTACAGTAGATAGACGTCGGGTAGAATGCGATGTGTCATGGAAGGAGAATGGAATGAAATGGTGTGTCGTATGCTTACCTTGTTTCTTTGCCTTTTTGCACGGTTATGGATTTCAGACCAGGTAGCTAGATGTAAGGACTGATATACTGTATTGTTGATATGTGTTGCTCTGTACATGTCATGCTATCCCTACTACAATGGTACCTAGTCTAACTCCAACCTACTCTGACCACCCACTCTCAGCACCCCAATTCGTCCATGCCAGCCACGAGACTTGCTGATCACAAAGTCGAGCGATCTGCTGATGTGAGGTAAGCTCTGCCCTGAGATTCTGGGGTTTTGTTTGCTTGTTGCTGAATCTATCTGTCTGCTCTGGTCTGACTTGGTTTGATTTGGTTTGGGTGCACCTGGGTCCCTAGCGAGGACGAACAAACAGACATGATTCGCGCGGAGACGCCGTGATGAGCGGGATGTGCATCTGCAATGTTGTAAAACAGGTAGAGGGACGCAGGCTACCGGTGAATAGTAAACTATGAACGTAGGTATCTGGCAATCAGATACATGTCCCCCTCCTTTCTCTCCGCCTAGGCTCCATCTACCACACAGCACAGTAGCATAAATACCTAGCCTAGCCCAAAAAAATCTCGAGTCGAAGAAGAAAGCAAAGTGGACTTGTGGCTGGCGGTCAAACCACATGTTTCACACACCCAACAATGCATGCATGTTGTCCACGGTCTCAGTCCGCTGCGCTTTGTGTACAATGTACCATCATAGGTACCGGCCATACCGGTAAGTCAGCAGATGGGTGGCCAGCCCCCAGTCCAACTAGAAGCGGCGATTAAGCCCCAGGGAAGGCGTTTGTTGGGGTGACATTGAGTCTCACTCTTACATGTATACATAGATACATACCATACCCACAGCTTGCATGGGCGCAGGCGCGTGTGCTGTGGAGATTGTGTACGGCAGCTATGGGTAGGTAGTGTGCCTGAAGCGGGGGGTTGGCAGTTCTTGTGCATGCGAATTATGTCAGCTACCGGTACTGTTTTGCGCGCCCGGGGAGAGGAGAGACAGGTCTCATGTGCTGTCGGTGTTGTGTAGGTCAGGAGATGCAGGGTCGAGGTTGTGGATTGTATTGCTTACACTGACGTTTGAACACTGCAGCGTTATTGAAGAACACAGCATCGACGTTGACGACTGCGTATACATTGTCAGGTAGCATATGTCAAGATCTCGGTTATGACTAGCCTGCAGTTGACCGAGCGTCGAGGAGTTTGAATTTTCCCCCGCGACAAAATGTAAGCATGAATCCTTCATCATGCCCCGGCCTAATTCCCATCACATAGTCAACCTATCTCAGTCTGCCCATACACAACACGAACCAAACCGGTCCACTGTCTGCAATATTCATCTTAAGCGAACCAAATGTACAGTGTACAACCTTACACTCTTCCATCGCATTACCCGCACCCCAGGCCCCAATCTCCGTGCGTGCATGTCCGTCACCTCCTCGGACCACGGCCACTGGATGAAAGCAAGATACAGGGCGAGACCAAGTCAACCAAACAACCCTCGCCCCCCTTCCCCCAGGCGATTATTTCGCAAGCGCACCTCGTCCTCACGGACAGCGCAGCAATGCTGCTCCGTGTTCAGGCACGCACAGTTTGAACCAATGGTGTGCACAAAGGTGAGGGGAGGAGGGGGGAGGATGCAGTATCCCAAGTTATACAGTATGTAGCTGGGCTATATTGATTGGCTTTTGTGGGAAATGGAGGAGGGGGAGAAGGGGGAGGGGGAAGGGGGAGAATGTTTGCATTACTGCATTGAGAGGTAAGCTCGGGAATACGCTCACCCCCAGGCCATGTCGCGAATCAACGAGCTGCAAGATTTGGCTGGCGTTTAACGAGCCATGGCTGATGGCAGGCTGATGGCAGGCTGATGGCGCTATTTTAGGGTTTCGAGCATGCCCGTTGTGGCGATCTGACGCCCTTGTCTCAGAGCGCAGAAAGCGGAAATGAAACCGAAGTGCCTTGTTACCGGTCTCGTTTCTGGAGGGTAACGTAGCCGTCGTGCTGGCATCGGGAAGCCTTACCACGAACTGTTACTGTACGACCAGCTGCGTAGAGTAGTGGACACGGCATTTGCACCTGCTGATATGCTCGTGCTCGCACTCGTGCCCTTCTCACCCAAGAGTCAAGACACAGCCATACAAACAGCCCAGCACACTACCATAATCCTCCGAAAAAACAAAGCAGTGTAGCCCAGCCCTGATTCCCGAGCCGTCCAGCAAATCACAAAACACCTCGGGGCGCCACACGAGGTCCCAATATCAAAGCACGTGAAAGTCTGGGGAATCACTCGTCTAAACCTCCCTGTCCAGGTGCGCAAAACAACCCATGACCCTGTACAGTGTACCAGCCGTCGCACTCTGGCTCAGCACACAAAGTAAAATCACCAGGAGGGGGGCGGGGGCGTTGCGGGATGGCTTCGGAACGGGCTGGGAGAGAAGATGAGGCCATTTTCCGTGGATTTTCCGCTACTCAGGCTGGCGCATTGCAAGTGGTGTAGTCTGTAGAGTAGTAAGGAGAAGTACACAGCATGTCCATCTCCTTAGTAGTAGCATACACGTGTGTAATATTCTTTTTGTGTGTGGAGGGATGATCACAGTAGGGGTAGTTACTATAGTGATGGTGGTGACGATGATGATGATGTTTGAGACTACTGGATCGGAGGTGACCGAAGATATCTTGGCCTGCAAACTGGCTGAGATGGTGATTCGTCCAGGCGAAAATGTACATGACGTCGTGCTAAAGTGGTAATGATTCAGGGGCAACATGGCTTTTTCTTTACTCTCTTAGCTACGCGCACATGATTTGACTGATCCAAACGACATGATTAGTCTCGCGGGCTGCGTGGCAATGGGGGAAATCTCTCTTTTGGGGGGTATTCGGAGTGCCCGAGGGCCTATCAAGCAAGGACATCTATGTTTGGTACAATTGTCAGGCGATGCATTCCTTATCTTCAGTGCGATCGGCATTGGAATGGCTGGGAGTATGGCAGGTAGAGCATTTGACTCAATGGTACCTTTGTATCATTACGAGATTGACTCGTATCTTTTCCACAATTGGGGGTATGCCTCAATACAGTTTATTGGAGCGTTTGCTAGGTAATCAGCTCAATTTATACACCTCGTATCCTTCCTTGATCTCGAGATCTATAGATCCCTGAAGGATTTCAAAGTTCCCTCCTCGTTCGATCACACCTGAGAAAGTTACCACATGTATATTTAGCAACTACGAGAGTGCTGAATGGAGGGCAATCCATGAACCTAGGACATACCACTTCTCCTATCGAGTACGAGCGTTCTCTCAATACTTGATGCTCGGCTTTTTTTCCAATGGCCATTTATTCGGCCTTGTGCGAGTCGAACATGGTACGACGCATGGGAGCCCAATGAGTACAATGACGTCCTATACAACGAAAAATGCAACATAGACCAGGAACAAGATGCAATGTCAGTCCGTCTTCGTTTCTGTACGACTGAATTATAGCCTTCAATAATAGCAGACAACTCTGCGCTCCATTCATTCAATCCGAGGCCCTTTGCATTGATCCCCTGTTCAACTAGTTCAAGCCTCCATCCTTGCCATTTTTTCTTTTCACCAGACGTCCCGCGATAGTGATTGAAGCCGATGGTTGACATGGTGGACTGCACAAAGCAACCCACGACGTCTGAGCTTCACGGAATACAAGGACCCTTAGCTTAACGTTCATCAACCAAAATCCTCCGGCACTTCTGACATCATCCAGAATCCCACGAAGAGGGCGGGCCGCTCACCCAGTTTCCCGAGATGCCTCCTGCCCAACAACCACCGAACCAGGGATTGTACATGGTGTACATCCTCTACGTAGGTACACGTAACATCCAACATACTCTACGTGATAGCCATTGCCGTGCTGTTACCAACAACTGCACAAAGCTTTCGTTTCACTGCCATTCCTTCCGCGCACACCTTATCTGTGGAGTCTGCGAACAGATCACTGTGCGAACGGCAACAATGACACCATTCCACATCGAATCCCCGGGCCTTCCCTCGCGTCTGCAGTTTCGCCCCCGCCGTCCACCGCAACAAAGGGAGACGCGCGGGACAAAAAGCAAGTGGGCAGGACTCTAGTCCACATGGAAGATCATTGCTCCGCGGTCCATTTTGTGACGATCGTGTCTAGAAAGTGGCACGAGTCATTTCCACTTCCCTGCTCGCCAGTCGCTTCGCTTCGCTATCCCCTCTCGTCCACTCCATCTGTGTCGCGATACCCGCCTGGTGAAGAAAAAACCCCTCAATGTCCACGGCTCCCAATCCATGACGGAAGAGGATCAAGCTTGCGCTTAGCACGAGCTTCCAAAGCACGTCCCTCCCTTCCCATGTTGTGTCTTCTTCACTAACCGCTGGGTCGAATCTGGTATTTTGACCGTGTGCGCCTCTTCCTGCAACTAGGAGCCTCGGTTCTCGCTTCGATGCAAACGCCAGACGAAGAAGAAGTCTCCCCCACAAACACCCCTAACCTCCAGCCTACACCCGGACTGGTTTACCTCCCGCGGCTACATATCAACCACTTGGACCTTGCACTGATAGAGGATGCATTTCCGTGACTGCCTCTTAGCGAAGAATGTTCGGTACTTTAGTGCATTTGCATGTTTTGCAGGGATCAAGTGGTTGGAGAATGTCGCTACAGCTGGTTGTCTGCAACTGCCTATTTCCCTTCTGTTGGTAAGAAGAAGATCTCGATGAGAATGGGGGGGTTCTTGTTGCCGTGGGGAGGGCAAGACTTGAAGGAAAGAACAGTCAGCAAGGATGATGATGGGGGAAGGATTCCGTGGGCGCCTGGGATACGAAGGGGTAGAGTACAGTAAGATCGTGATTGTGGAGACTGGTGAGAACAATGGATACCTGAACGATAAGCGGTGGATTCCAGAGTGTGTACACAGTCTAGTCGACTCCACTACATGGACCGTACTGTGTGTAGCGGTCGTAGAGGTCCAAACTTCAACGGTCCAACATGTTGATTACACTACGATCCCCGGTCCCCTTGTAGTCTCGTCTGCAGTCTCCACTACATGCATCTCGTAGCAAGTTTCCAGGTTATCTCTCGAGAGCAACAGGACCAGAATTAGCCATCATGCGTCCAATCCCTCTCGGACAACATGCAGGCACAATCACAGTGCAGACACATCAATAGCTTAATCGATAGCCTGCCCTCCTGCATTGACAGCCTGGTCTTACGGTCGACCAACTAATCGCGCTTCAAGGGCTTGTCCTGCTTCGGGCGTGGGATATGCAATGAATGTTGGTTTTGAAGAAACCCTGCGGAATCTCGCGGGTACACTCGGTTAGTGCGGCACACTACACTGGACAACCCCCCAAGGACCGTGCTTCGATAACGTTCGAGAAGTGAGAATACAGGCCGAAGCCGTGGTGTGTGATGTGAAGGAGGGGTATGACGGGTGATGCTACACCGTGGCTTGCGGATATCCTGGGGTAATGCGAGTGGAGTGGTGCGTGAGGGTCTAGCTGATGTCGGCGGTTATGTGCATGCTGTATTGTCTCGAGGTCTGATTGTGAACATGTGTTCCACGCGATCGCGGGATGCTGTGCTGTGTTTGGCAGGTCCGTATGTGGTGGATATTGCAGTACGTGTATTGTGGGTGTTCGTGCCGGTGTAGCATACTGATGAGCTCCTCGAAACGGTCCACAAGGTGGGCTCGGATGGGACGGCTTAACGGCTTGATACGGACAGGGCAGGATCTTGCAGGTCTTTCAAAGTATGGTTAGCTAGAGAAACACCAGAGGCAGCCTTGGTTGTGATGAGTCGTAGGCGAATATGCAAAGGTCCGAATGTCTTGATCTATTGTGTCGATTACTTCCCCAAACACCGATTGATATCCTCGCTACCAGTATAGTACACAGATCCATTACATGATCATCTCGTCTGCTTCCTCCTCCTTGTAGCTCACCCTAGCCGTAGCTCTGCCTGACCTCTTCCGGGTAGCAGGAGGGCGTGCATCTCGCTTCTGCACAACAGGAGCCTCGTCTTCTGAGCCTAGGTCAGTGAGCGGTGGTGAGCTAAGATGATCGTCCTCTTCGTCCGAAGCCGAAGGCGTAGGCACTGACTTCGCCGAATTCTTTTTGGTTGATTTGACACCTCGCTTACTCGCTGGTGGCTTCTTCGCTGGCGTCTTGACTTCATCAGGTCCAACTTCACTCGTGACTGATGCTGTCTCCAGAACACTGGTAGTCTTGGCCTTCCTTTTTGCAAGTGTGGTTGTACCTTCCTCTTTCTTCTTTATAACGCGTTTTGGGGGTCTAAGCCAGTCCTCCATACCTGGGGGCCAGTACACTCGACCCTCAGGCCCACCCATGGCTACTTCTTCATCAGGTATGATGGGTGGCGGCACATCCTCCTCTTCTTCTTCTTCCTCTGCGAGTTTAGCCCCAGTCTCTTCAGTATCGTCGGCCTTCTTCTTTCTATTCTTCTTCACGGCTTTTTTAGGCTTGGGCTTCCAAGGCTTGTTCTCGTCATGCCGCACGTGTGGCAAAATATCATTAAATGTGTGGAACCCTGGAAGCTTGAAGGTTCGCATCAGTTCAAACACGGCCTGTTCTTTGTCTTTGGCCTCAATCATCAAGTCCATAGTATTAGGGCAGGGCGGTAGCGTCATCACACGAGGTGAATGCTTTCGTCGAGCCGTACGAGAGATGGCTGCCGGGGTGGGCTCAGAATAATGCATCTTAGGAGTGATGCCTTTTCTGGACCATGTCTCGAGAATGGCTGGATAGAGATCCATGACATCCTTAGTGCCCTCACGAATCTGAGTCTCATCAAAGATGATATTGTGATGGTGATAGTCTAGCACGAATGGAATGTTGAGCTCCTGGCAAAGGGGCAACAGCTCGTGTGTGCACCAAACAACATCATCATTCTCCAGAACAAGACGATTCTTGACACTTTGAGAAAGCCTGGCATAGTTCTCCTTGAACCTGGCAATGGCAGCAGGCTTATCGCCATAGGCACCACCAAGATGCAGAATCATGACGGCGTCTCGATTCTGCTGCTCAGGCAGCTTGAGTAGCGACAGCATCTCATCGTGATACTCCAAATCACGAATAGCATTCTCGATGACCTGCTTCCGTGGCGAACCTAGCTGTGTGAACTGGCCTGGATGCGTTGTCACTCTATGGCCAAGCTTGGCAATGACCTCGCCGGCTTCTCGAAGCGTCTCTGCGGCAAAAGGCGCAAGCTTGTAGCCATATTCGTCGTGGCTTGCGAAGGGAAACATTTCACTGCTCAAGCGCATAAATTTGATGCCATACTTGTCGTTCCATTGTATCATCCTGCCAATGTCTCGCGCATTAGCGAGGCCAATCTCCTCGACATAGCGCTGGCCTCTGGCGATGTCTGGCGCCTGCTCCTTGTCTGGGCGGTTCTTGATGGCGTGCTCGGGCTGTGAAGGGTCCCTGAGGGGATGGCGATGCTCAATGATGCTCGCGATGCGGCATGTCCTAGAGCTGAAAACAGGAGGGTTCGCGGTCCGCAGGTATGTATTGAGACAAGCCTGATGGGCAAGTTGGTTAGTGAGCAAGTGGTAAGGGTAAGCTTGGTGGTTGCAGGGAACGTACATAGCCTAAGCGGCCCTTCCATGGAAGAGGAAGGTAGTTAGAGTTTAGCGGAGGCGGTCTCGACAACGCTTCCTTGACTTCTGCCTCATCTTCCACTTCCTCGTCTAGTCCCTCGGCGACTTCGGGATCGCCAGCCATCCCGGTGTTTTCTGCAGGTCCGGTGACCTTGGCCGTGAACCCCTCAGCAACTCGAACTTCGACAGTGTTTTTCACATGTGGCTCGCCAGTCTTCTTGCGCTTACCCTTGCCTCCTGCTGGGGTGGAGACAGATGCATTGCCGTTTGATACAACCAGAGCTTTCATGTCCGTGGTTGCATCTCTCCCCGCACTGGCCCCTTTTGCTGTCCCAGACCCGTCAACGAGAGGGGGTTTCAGATGAGGTTCCGGGCCGACATCTTCATGCCCGTCAGGCGATGCTCGCAATGCGGTTACTCCATCTTTGATATCAGGATTGAGATTTGGGTCCGTGATTGCAGCTGCGGCCCCACGAGGCAACTGGCGATGCGGGGGCTTTGTGAGTCTGGTGTTTGCAGGCAGAGGCACTTCCGAACGACGCATCTTCTTCTTGTCCATGGCAGGCGCCTCATCTGTCGTGGGAGCAACCGCTGCTACCGACGAACGTTTTCGCTTGGCCATTGTCTGTGGAATGAACGACAGGCGAAGCCTCTGCAGCGCTGGGGTGACTTGCTGTCGTGCGTGAAGTGCGCTGCGAAGGGTGGTGGTGGTGGCTCTGAAAGGGCGTGTCATCAATGTGCATGTGTCAAAGGGTGTGGTCGCACTCTAGAAACGGAATGCAGTGAATGGCGGCAACAAAAGCACAAAGCTGAGGTCCCTTTTCTTTCAGCCGTGATGCTATGATGGACTGTTCCTGGATGACATAACGCGTGCTGTTCGCGTCGACGTCACTACTTATGACGCCTGGTGTTCATTCAGGGCGGATCGACGGCAACGCCATCCATGTCGGCGATTAGCGAGATCTAAGCTTCAGCCCCAGACCTACACATCTTCTCTCAACCCAGATCTGAGTTGAAAGAGCCGGGAGATCTAAAGTAGGTCAGCAGCGGCGTTTACTTAATTGGCGAGATGCCCCGTAGACTGGGAGACGTGGTAACCACCATTTTTGCGCGTAAAATCCATCAAAGGACACCTCTGGGGGCTTTGTCGCAAAGTTCGAGCCGATTCGCCATGTCAAATCGCGGTTTCCAGAATCTCGTCGTACCCATCGGCAACCCGTGAGCATACGTGTATGAATTCGTCCCTGGTCGCCGGTACCCTGTTTCGGAAAGGATCGTTGTGACACCTGCTATGGCTTCGAAGAGACGGGAGAGCCTGTCTCATGATTTCTGTGACTCTGGATGCCGCGCAGCCTTCTTATATGGATATTCACAGCCCGCGACTCTGGTTCCCCCTCCTTGGCTGGCTGGGCCAAGTATCGTTATGAGCACCAGAATAGCTGGATGAAGAGCATGGAATTCCCAGAAAATGGATGCACGCACGATGCTCAAACCACACTTTTATGGGGCGGCTAAAGGAAAACTCTTCCCACATTCCTGAAAGGATTCATCGTGACAAAACAGCGTCGAACCACCTTCCTATTTCGATAACTCAATGTTTAACGCAACCAACATAGCGGTCAACCATGGTACAAAGGCTTGGACTTTATTCTGTATAATTTCATTTGGTGCCGATGAGCCGCTCTCCAGGTCCAAGTGTCGCTTAGGATCGGCCACAGAACAATTTCCAAAAGAACAAATCCCATCTACTGGGGTGAGAAGAAAATCTTTGACCTTGAGAACCGGGGGGCATGAGGAGTAAGTTCGCATTCAGATCCAATATGCAGGAGACGCATACAGGTTTTCAGGCCAAGGCTCAGGACTGAGTAGGCATCCTGCCTCATCTGGAGAAGAAGTCAACACGTGCCCAAGTCAAAAGAGACATGAGGCGAGGCTATCAATGGACATGATCATTTGGTCTAGACCGTCGTACTGCAGCTACCTGTATGAGATTTTCAAGGTATGTCTTCTCTCAAGCACTTGTATCTTGTCTTGGGATCAATATCGATGCTATTCTGGTATCTTCTTCGTAGCCATGGAAGAGCGAATAAAGGTCACCGATCAATGTAGCCCCCCTACTCCTGAATCGACGGCAGCTGAAATTTCCATCACTATGGAAATCTTCAGGACGGCTGTCTAGTGAATTTCTCACGTTAGATCACTCATTCCAATAGCCCGTGGTTCATCCAATACTTGCTCCATGTCAGCGTTGAAAGCCCATCAAAGAAAACATGTCTTCTGTGCGAAAGAGAAAGGGATTTGATGGTAGTTACCCTTGATTGAGACGTTCAGACTGGTGTTGGTCATTCCAAGGGCCGTGATAGGCTAAGATCTGGCAATGGCTGAATAATGCGAGACGCGTCATACCGTGGAGCCGAGGCGCCGAACTTTTGCCTTCTTCAAAGCATCACTTCACTATTGCGACACCCTCCCCTCCTCCCCTCAATTCACTATTCACAACCACCATCTAAACTATCAATGGTATCCTCGTCAAACATGTCGCGCTCAGCTCTGCGAAGCCTTTCACGAGCCGGATCTTCCCTACGAGCAGGTGGCCCACGCCCGCGCATCACCACAAGATGCCTCCACCAACAGTCATCATCACCCATAGTCGCTTCAAGAGCGCAACACAGACCTAGGATACAATCATGGAACCAGAGTCTGAGCGCCACACCCTCGGCAGCAGCGACAGTCCCTCGCCGAACAATGTTCATCCAGACCGAACCCACACCAAACGATGACGTATGAACTCCCCCATCCCATCGTCCCCCATTTCCCCGAGCGTCGCAATGAATCAGAATGCTGTTCTAACACACCAAACAGGCCCTGAAATTCAACCCAAACGCTCGTGTCCTCTCCGAATCCATATCCTCACCCTATCTTGAATATCTCACCCCACGCTCCACCCTCGCACCTCCCCACCCATCTCCTCTCGCGGCCGCCCTCATGAACATAGACGGCGTGACATCTGTTTTCTTCGGCACAGACTACATCACCGTGACCAAAGACAGCGGCACACCCTGGGCACACATCAAACCCGAAGTTTTCGCCCTCATTACAGAATTCATGACGAGCGGGCAAGCCATTGTCAACACCGTCGCCGCCAAAGACGGGGAGCAAGGCCAGGGCGGGCAAGAAGCCGATTCGCTCGCCTACGACGAAAACGACGATGAAGTCGTCGGCATGATCAAGGAGCTCCTCGACACCCGCGTCCGACCCGCTATCCAGGAAGACGGTGGGGG